GCAAGGGTGAAGGGGGGACTGAGACACGTGGGCATTGGGGGGGGTCCCCTGAGGTGTTGGGCCAGGAGGCCTGGGGGGAGGGGACAGAGAGCAGGTGCAAAGCTACGAAGGTAGGAAACACCTGGGTCTGGAAGGCCCTTCCTTGGGGGTGGGAGTGGGGCCGAGACGGGAGGAAGCCACGAGCCCGCCTTTCTTCCAGATTCTGCGTCCTCTAGGTACCTGGAGAACTTCAGCAAAGGTGGGTGGCATCCGGGGAAGTGGGGGCTGCGGTGGGGCCCACAGCCCGGGGCTCAGGCCTAATTCTCACCTCTTCCTGCAGGAAGCAGACGAGGATCTGATGGAGCCTTCATGTGAGTGGTCTTCTGCGGGCCCTGGCCCCGCATCCCCGCCCCCCACCCACCCCTGCTTTGAGCTTCCCCCTTTAGGAAGACTTCCTGCCCCGGAACCCACTGGCCCAGGCAGGCTCTGCCCCTCAGGTGGTTATGGCTTTGTGGGGACAGGGACATGGCCCTGCTCTAGGGAGGGTTTGTCTGGGGGGACTCATCCCACATCGCCTAGAGACAAGTTCCAAAAACCCCAGGGAGGAGGGGCCCTCAGGGATGTCTCTTCATCTCACAGATGGGCACACTGCTCCCCAGGGAAGAGGGGGACGAGTCGGGATGGCTGGAGCCAGGCTGGGTGGCTCAGGGACGGAGGGACCAGGGGAGAGCCTGGCCCAGCCCCCGCGAGCCCCCGGGGGAACAATATATTGGAACAGCCCTGGCCTCACTGTCCCCCGTGATGCTCCAACCCCAACCACCCGCCTACCTAGCAACCAGCCTGTGTCTGTGTTTTCTTGCCAGAGACCCCATTGCCACGCACTATTACAACTGGGGGCAGTTCCAGAAGCCCTTGGAAGGTGAGGCGGAGGAGGGGGAAAAAGGGGAGGTGGGAAACTTCAGAAGCCACGTTCCCCGGGCCAGAGGCGGTGGGAAGAACGTGGAGGAGGAGGCTGGGCCTAGGTCTGGACGGGTGGCGGAGTTGGGGAGCTCGGGGCCAAAGCCCAGGAGCGCAGTAGGGAAGGGATGTGTGGGAGGCAGAGAGGGGACAGGGTGGTGGGCCGCAGAGGTGAGGGCACCAGAGGGGGAGCTGGGGGCAGAGGTAGCGGGGGAGGCTGAGCCCCCGTGTCGTGCAGGCCCCCCCTCGGGACTGGGCAGCAACTGATGGGTACACGTGGGACCTCGGAGAAAGGCCCTGGGCAGGGCGGCCGGGCTGACCGACACTGAGCCCTGCGGGCTCTGAAGATGCCAGAATCTTAGGCCCTTAACACCTTTGGTTCACAGAAGAAGAAACTGAGGAGTGAGGGAGGGCAGTGCCTGCTGAGAGGTGCTCGGGTCTGGGGCTTGAGGCCAGTTCCTGCATCTTGGCTCCTGCCTGGGCCATGCTGGGGAGTGGGGCCGTGGTGGGTAGAGAGGAGGGTCTTCTCCCCGCCCCCTGCACCCACCTCAGATGGATGCAGGCAGTGGGCCAGCAGTTAGAGCTCAGCTTGCCCCTGACGGGGGCCATGAGGGGGTGCCAGGCTCTGATAGGCCTGGGGTCGCCCCGCCCCGCCCAGAGGTACTGCTTCAGGACGAGCCTAGGCCCGGAGCCCGCCTCTCCGTGGCCTCCAGCAGCAATCCCTGCCCCTCACTGCCCAGTAGCAACGGGCCTCCCTCCCTCCCTCCCAACTAGCCAACTGCCTGATTGCAGCCTGAGCCCTACTCCCGCCTCCCCGGTGCATTTGGGGGGGGACCTCAGAAGACAATGAAGGAGCTCAGGGTGGCGGCTGCCGAAGCCAGGCCAGTGTCAATGAAGAAGCTTGTCCAGGAGAATGTTCGGGAGCCTCCCGGCGGGGGTGGGGGGAGGTCGGTGCAGAGGCTGAGGGTTTGGCAGGACGGGTCACCTACAGAGGGAAGGCAGGACGGAGGGAGGGAGGGAGGAAGAGCCCGGCCTGCTGGGCAGGGCCGACTGGCACCCACAGCCCCGTCTCCTCTCCCCGGCAGACGATGATGATGCCAATTCGTACGAGAACGTGCTCATCTGCAAGCGGAAGGACACTGAGTCAGGTGAGGCTGCCAGTCCCGGGAGCTGGCAGGGAGGCCAGCCTCCTGGGCTGAGATCCGAGGCCCCCGTTGCTCAAAGGCACCACTTGCCTCAAAACCCGAAGGTTCACCTCAGCTCTCGTGCCTTTGGATAAAGCACTGCTCGAGGCCTGGAGGGCCCCCGGGGGT